GCATTATATTGAACATAAAGTCATACATCTTGACTAATTTTACTTTGCAAATATAAATAATAGTATCTTTGAAATGTAAGTAATGGTTAAGTAGCATCATCCAACAGAATAGAAATACTCTTAGATTGGAAAAATATGAAGACTCATTTCTTTCTCTTCACTGACACTCAAAATTGTGATAAGGATCTATTTAGATGAAGCTTTTAATTCCAAATTTCAAGCTAGAAATTTTTCCATTAATAATCTCCTAGAAATGAGATTTTGCAACAGGGTTAATTACTACTGAGCTACTGAATGTTTGGTTGACTCAGTGGTTTTAAATCATTTCCACATAAATACCCCTCTTGGTTATACCCAGTTCTAGTCCTCACACAGCACTTATTAATAATTTGTTTTGTCTTTTTCTTCAAATATGCATACAATTGCTTCAAAATCATATACAATAACATATACATGATCAGAGGTACTGATAAGCTTTGATAACCAGTGTAGAAACTGGTAACATCCTAACCAAAAGCACCAAATGTGAAGATTTTGTTGTTCTCTGTGGCCTTATTTCAAGGAGTCACACAAATTCCACTAGGTTCTGTAAATCACTGAAAGAAGCTTTCAGACCCTACCTCTATCTTCACAGTTTCCCAGGGGATCAGAATTTGTAAGAGGAGAACAACGTGTTTACTACTCAAAATGAAATACTTTCTTTATGAATGAATTTCAAATTTGAATTGTGCTGGTTTATATGACGATCATCAGAAGTGAACTTAAAACTCCTCTGCAAAGCCACTCATAGCTACCCATCAATTCATGATGCATCCTTCCCTCCACCACATTCCTATTTCTCCTTGGGTCCATGTCTATGAAGTCAATTCTAATTCTGACACCCTATGCTATGGAATGGATATGACCCCCTCCCCCAATTCACATGCTGAAGTCCTGACCCACGATACCACACAAAGTGACTATTTGGAGTTTGGATCTTTAAAGCGTTAAATTAAATGAGGTCATATGGGTTATCCCCTATGCAGTAGGGCTTGTGTTCCTATAAGAAGATATTATAATAATAACACAAGTAAAAAGACCCCATGAGGACACAGGAGAAGATGCCAAGAGAAAGGCCTCAAGGGAAACCAACCCTGCCACACCTCAATCTCAGACTTCTCACCTCCAGGACTATGAAACAAATTTCTATTGCTTAAGCCATCAAGTCTGTAGTACTTCTTTATGGAAGCTCTGGCAAAAGAATACACCCTAGTAAGCAGACAGCACATTAAAATATCACTATTCATAAGAAACATAAATCAAAGACAGGCTACTTATTCAAAGTTGAATGCTTGCTGGTATGAAATGAAGAATAGGATGCTTGACATAATTTGACAGGCAGTAGAGAAAATTCTATCAGTAACTATGTTTTCATTCAGATATACAAATTAAATTGCAAACTTCCCTGGAAGAATGAGAATATTTCTTTAATTAGTAATAACAGTTTAATGGTATTTTTGTTGAAGCTGTGAGGTCTTCTGCTGATATTGGCTAAGATCAACCAGGTTATAAGGAATGGGGTTACAACAACCAGTTGTAATGGGGTGAAGAGCACCTACAGAGGAAAAAAAATAGGTTTGAAGTATGAAGAAAGAAAAGTGGGCAGGATGGGTACAAGTAAGCAACCCGTGGGAGAAAAAAGCAACTTCTCTCTAGCCAGCCCAATGCACAGGACAGCACAAGGAAGGGTGTGGAGTTCTATCTGCTTCTCACTGCAGATACCCCCCATGAGCTTCCAGCCTCCACCAGCAATTTCTCCTCCCTCCTTCTCTCCCTCCCTTGGCAGTCCCTCCCTTTCTCTCTGGAAAGTAGAGAACAGACTGTAACCTGCCTGTGTGCCTCCCAGGGAAAGAAGCCCAGGCTGGCCTCACTTTCATCTACTTCCTTGCTACCGTGAAGAACATTCCAAGCATGAGCATGACCTTATTCTATCACAACCTCCATTTGAATTTCATTTTCTTTGGAGAAGGGCAAAGTGGTTCTGACAGAAAATGTTTTCTTATCCATGTTCTCTATCCTCTCTGCATTGCAAACTATAGGCCACATTGATCTCTCTACAGTCCAGAATACCCAGAGCAGGCATGTGAACAACAGAGTACTCTGCCCCTTGGCATCACAATTCTCCACAGTGCAACAGACAAACCCCTTGGACTCAGAGCTGGCACTAAACCCTTCCAATGACCCCAACAAAGTACTGCATCCTTTTCTGTACATTGAATGAAACAAAAAAATACAGACACTAAATGACCTGCACAAAGGCACACTAAATTAGGGAAAGGCCTAGAAATGTGCCTGATACTAACAGAAAGGAACACACAGTATGTACTATTAAACTGTTATGTGGGGGCATAGATTATAGGAGCAGAAATATACTTAAAAGTTTGTAGCAGCTTTGTAACATATATGCAATTTTCCCATAGGTGGTGAAAGTTTCCCATAGGTGGCTGAAAGTTAAGAATGAAGTGCTACTTGGGCCTCCCTGGTGACCCAGGGGTTAAGATGCAAACTATGAAGCAATCCACAGCCACTGCAGCATGAGTTTGGCCAGGGAGAAACCCACATGGAGGGACAGACCTCTCCTGTCTCGCCCACTGCTCCCCTCAGCAGTGTATTTCAGTCAGTGTGCCTGTTCTGTTCCCCACTCTGTCTCTGGTGAATCCTCTCACCACCTGCATCTCTGGCCTGTACCCCAATTCTTGCATAAAAATGAATAAATCTTTAAAAAAATAAAAATAAAGATACTAAGATAAGGCTTGAGTAGTTTCCTATTAAAAAAAAATGAAGTGCTACTTGAAGAAAAAAATGCACTTACTACTATAATAAATAGGTTTATAGGTATTTAAATTCTTCCCCAAATTGTAATCTTTTCAATTGCCTATCTGTTGTTATCATCTCCCATATCCAGAATTTGAAATAAATCCTCCCCCTATTGACGAATGACTGGTGAAGACAGGAATTAAGTAAGAGAGTCCCCTTTTCCCATTTGCAAGGGCAGCTTTGTGACCTAGTAGCACTTAGCTATGAATTGCTAAAACAGAAGTTTGAATTCTTCTTGTGATCTCAGGTAGAACAATGGCTACTCTGTGATGTGCTTGGGCATATGATGCGATGATGTGCTATTAATATTAATTATCAGTTACCTCATGAGACACATCCAAGAAGTGACTATGGAATTATATACAGAAACAATAAATGTTATTAATTAAAAAAAAAACTGCTTATCTTTGATTGTATGATACTTGTTTTTTTTTTTTTTTTATGTACTTAAAACACTCAAGAGAATTTTGTTAGGCCTACAGCTACAGCCCATCCCAAGCCAACACTGAAGGTCCCTCTTCTGGGGCCCACCAGCACACATGCTTGCCTCTGCCTCATCAATTTTGTGTTGGCCCCAAATCACCTGGAAAGGTATCTGCCAGGCTCCCCTGTAGACATTAAATACTTTGAGGGGAGGGGTCCTGACCATATGTATTTTGGCCAGGGCTGGTTCATATTCATTCCTTATCAAAGTTGTCTTATTTCTCCAAAAGATTGAAACTAAGAACTTTGAGTATTAAACTGAGATAGACCCTAGGTGCCAGGAGCTAGGATGAACCTTAGGAAAAGTCACCTCCTTTTCCTGTAGTGGAGCGAAAAGGAAAGTCAGTCCTGCGGCTGTTCATGGGCAAAGCCAGAAAGGAAATTCACATTTCCAGTCTCTAAATTCTGGCATTTCCCCCACACTTTGTGCATTATCTGCACATCTGTCCATCCTGACTTTGATACCTACAACACTGGGGTTGGAGGCACATCCTAGTCACATCCTGAATCAGACTCAAGAGGCTGTGCTCTGGAGACTTAGCAGGATTGCTCCTCACCTGCCTGCCCTGATTACTTTTGAGGGCTGTCCCAGGATGTCCTCTACTACCCAGTAAGCCTCTGGCTTGCCAAGTCCAGGTAAACCATGAAGCCTGCACTGGGGGTCTGGAGTCACTGAAGGGAGGCAAAAGGCTGTCGCAGGCCCACTAGTGGGTAGGACTTTCACAGTTCACTGGAGGGAGGGGGATGGTTTCCCTGCCCTGCAAGCCATATGTTCTAGACAGAGTCTCCACTGAAACCAGAGTCCCTGTGGGGATGGGCTTTGGTTCACAGGGGAAGCAACAGCTGCAGAGTAGAATAGTTTAAACAGGTGAATCTGATTAATAGTCAAATTGACTTTCACACTCTGTTTAAACACTGTCTCAGTTTCCTCTTCTCCATGAACTGGACAAAATACATAATCATATACTTTATAGCATGGTATCAGGTTTAATCAGTTGATGCACATAAAAGCACAGCCTAAGCCTGACATACAGCAGGCAATCAGGACATGGCCAGTGCTATTAATATTAGTACTCATCTAAAATAAAACAAGTTTTAATCATAAGCTGGAATGCTTGTTTTTGCCATCCATCAGGCTTTGTCATTCAATGAGCAAGTGGGCTTATTTTGTTGTTGTTTGTTTGTTTTTTCCATTTTTTGAATATTTGCATGATACTCTGCATACATAATCTAGGAAAACAGATTATTTATATGAGTGGTCTAGCTTAATTGGACATTAAACAATATATACCAAATGACAACCTGTGTTTGAAAACAGATTGAGCATTTCACAGGCAAACACTTTTAAATCAGGAGCAGTAAATCACTGTTACAAGCACAGGCAAAACTGTTGAGGAGTTCCCTTCTTGTCACGGGCTTCATTCTAATAAAACCCTTCTGTAGCGAATAGCAAAGGAACTAAGGTGGACTGGCCACACTGCTTTAAAAGATTACCTCTGCTCTGAAAAAAAGAGGTCGGGTTAAAGAGACCCGAGCACAGCGCTGCTGTCCACCTCTGAGAACCAGAAAGCGCCTCTTCTTCAAAGTGGGGGAATAGTGCACAGAGCTGATTCACCCCTTCCTGGGAGATGCAAAGTCGCCCGCCTGGCGCGGCCTCTTACCACGAACTCCTCCAGAGTCTGGTAGGTCTTGCCCCGGAACTCACAGTAGTTCTTCCTCTCCTTGCACTGCGGACAGCACTGGCTAGTGTCGACGTGGATGCAACGCGGGTGCAGCCTCGGGCACTCGGGCTGCGCGCACAGTGGCCCTTCCTCAGTACACAGGCACGGACAGGCCGAGGGGCCGGGCGCGAACTTCTCCCCGATCGCGTACACAAAGCCGCTCTCGTCCACGCAGCCCTTGCCGCGGTAGTCCGGGTACGCATACTCCTCCGGCGGCTCGGGCGTGGGCGCGAGCTCCGGCACCGTGGAGTCCTGGGCGGCTGCAGCGAGCAGTGGCTCCTTCTGCGGGATGTCCCCGCGGTACCGGACCTGCAGGTCCCCGGCTTTGGCGCCCCCGCCCTGGGCAGCCCAAACCTGCCTCTGCTTGCTCCACGCCTCCCGGCCCGTGAGCCCTCGGCCGCCCTTGCTCTTCCAGTCCCGGCCGCTGCCGTTCTGGTCCCTCGCCGGGCGCCCGAGCTCGCTCACCCGCCCCGGGCCATCCCGAGAGGCGTGCTCCCGCTTCTCCTGGCCGGGCTGCTCCGGCGCCTGGGCCAGCTTCTCCAGCGGGATGCTCGGGCTGCACAGAGCCACCATCAGGCAGCAGGTGACCAGGAGGGAACTGGACAGCGCGCCAACTGCCATCGCAGTGGAGCTGGGCATCCCCTATCGCGTCCCGGCGGGCGGGCGGGGAGCGCCGCCGAGGGGCGAGTCGCATTCACAGCCCGGGAGCGCGCCGCCACCGGCCGGGAGCCGCCGTCCCTGCGGAGAGAACAGCAGCACAGCTAAGCCCCGCGGCCCGCGCGACCCGGCCCCCACCCGCCCCAGCGCTGCTGGGGCTCCCTCTACGTTCTAGATTGAAGAGCTGGACCACGCGGGCGGGGCGGCATGCCCAGCGTCGGTACCCAGCCGGAGTTCTTAGACATCACAAATTGTGGAGTCCTATGTGGAAGCGAAGTCCAAGGGAAACACTGGCCAGCAGGATCTCTCACGTAGTCGTGATTAACAGTCGCGATGGCCAAAGGCGGGTGGCAGAGCCGCGGGGATGCCGCGAATCGTGCCCGCGCCCTCCACAAAGCTCGGGTAGAACCATTTAATCCTGGAGCCTAGGGTGTCCTTCGCTAGCACCTAGCCATACCAGCCCAGAGGTTCTTAAATGGAGATTACGCAGTGGAGTTAGAGACGGATGTCCGCGCCAGAGGAAAAGCGGGGAGCCTCCCCTCTCTTGTTTTAGGCCTTTGGGGAAAGGAGGTGGGGGTGGTTAAGGAAAGCCCCTAGGATCCCGCGGTGCATTTCCAACAACTTTTTAAATGACTCCACTCCTGGGAGCAGCCACCACTTCCCGCTCACCTCCCCAGGCTTAGCTTCTCAGAAGACTGTTCCAGACTAACCCCTGGGCGGAGGGATCGGGGATTCGGGAGATTAAGGCGCTTCTCTCCACCATTTGAGTCTAACCCGCTGCTCGGCGCCTTGGCGACCACGAGAGACCCGGTAGGTTTCAGCGCTTGGTCTGGTAATTGATTTTACCAGGGAGGGGTGTTGGAGGTAGAGCAGAAGTGCAAGGCAGATGGAAATTCAGGGCTCTGAGTAGGACTGATCCTTTCTCATACTCAGGTCTCAGAAAGCCTTTCTAAATCCCAAAGTTTTTTGTCGCCCAAGGGGGCCGAAAAAATGCTAGACGCGGCAGGATGCGGGCAACCTATGGCTTTTTTCCTCCTTGCCCATCCCTACCCGACCGGCCCCGCCACAACCCCCGCGACATTCGGCGCAATCCAGGGCGTTTGTCTCCCTTTTTCTTAGTACCCCTCCAGTAAAGCTTCCGCCATCCGCGCCCTCTGGCCACTACCATCCCTTACTCGGCGGATCTCGCCCCGGGGCGAGGGGACCCCTTCAGAGCAGCAGAGAGACTAAAGGAGGTATAAGGCGCGTCCCAGCACAAGCACCCAAAATACACCCTCACCCTGGGGGCAACTGCCCAACCTACATACATGAGCACAAGGCGCTGGCCAGCCGCCGGGTTTGCTGCGGGCGCAGGGGCTGTAGCGACGGGTGCGGCCCCGGGGCGCGGGCGCCCATCCTCCCGCGGGCTGGGGACCCGCGCCGGGCGCACCTCGGAGAGCGCAGCACCACCTGCGCGCTCTGCCCAGCGCGTGCACTGGGCTAGGGCGTCTCCGTTGTCTCGCTCATCTCGCCGCCAGAGGCTGGTAGTCCCGGCTCCAACTAGGTTCAGTGCCGCCCTCCGCGGCTCATCACCGGTCTCGTCCTCTCATTTCCACGACCAAGCGTGCCCGTGGGCCCGCCAGGGTTCTGCCTCGCTCCTCTCCAGCGACAGGAGTGGAAGCTCTCCAGCCCAGGCAGCCTGGATGGCTGGGCAGCCGCAGCGCGTCCGAGGGAGAGGAAACGCCCGGAGCGCGGCGGGCGGCCGTTCGGCACCGAGGCCGGGTGGTAAGCCCGCATGCCCGCCTCCCGCCTCCCGCCTCCAGCCTCTGCCTGCCGCAGCCGCCTCCCGGCCCGCTCGCTTTCTCGCCGCATCCTCTGCTGCCCGCGGCTGGGAAGGGCATCGCCTGGGTGACCTGCGCTGCTCTGGAGTTGGAGGACCTCATCTCCCTAACTCACTAGCCGCCCCCTACCCCATGCAACCCACCTGTCAGTCTCCACGCGTCTGCCTTCCCACCTCTTTGGTGGCCAACTCGGCCAGGCTGCCATTCTCTTTTTCTGCCACTCACTGTCCGCTGGACCTTTCATCTTGACCTTTTCCCCTTTCCTTTATTCTTCCCTTTAATTTCGTCCTTCCTAATTGGCACCCTCTGGCTTTTCTCTCCGTGGACAGCTGGATTTTGCCACTGTTGAAAAACTGAACCAAACTGTGTTCAATTTGGAATTCGAAAGCCACGTTAGCTTAGCAGACTAAGTATTTTTCCTTTTTATTTTCAGAAACCCAGAGGCATAAACGTTTCAGGCTAAAAAAGCTACTAAAAATCAGAAGAGCAGACTTTTTTGAATGTCTACCTATTTTTGGCCCCGTGAGCCTCTATCTCCCCTTTCCTACCCACTGTCTCTTCTCCAAATACAAAAAGAAACATTTTGGTTAACTTTGTTGGAATGTTAAATGTAAAGCTTTAGGCTTGGGATTGTTTTCACTCCTAAATTGTAGTGGATGAGTGCGATGTGCTGCTTTTTTGCATACCCAAGAAAAAGTACCTTTTCAAAGCAAGCCAGAAAATGGAATTTACATTGAAATGTCTATTCCCAGGGTTTTGATTCCTACTGTCATTTTGGAATCACTGAAAAGGTCCTGATGCATAAACACACATTTTCCCCAAGATCAGACCTTGGGCTGGGGGTGGGGTTGTTTGAAACAAATTCCTTTTCTCCCCATCTCTTTACAGTAGACAGACCAGAATTAAATAAGGGCCTAAAAATGACAGAGAAGACTCCAAGAGCCTGGGGTGGGGTGAGGGGGGGGGTTCTTTTGTTCACAAGTGCTCTCATATACATTGGGGTAGACCAAATGTAATTAATAAAACTCCAGTAAGATATGTAAAATATTCTACTTCCTGCTGAACAAATGGTTGGGGGTGTGAATGAGGACACTCTTTATGGTTTTCACCTCAGTAAGCAGCTGCTTTGTCCCAGCCTCTGGGTCACTGTGGAGAACTGTGGTTATGAGACAGTGGCACTCGCAGGAAGAGGTCTGACAAATTTGGGAACTTATTATGTGACCAAGTGTCCAAATCACTTTATTCTGTCAGATATCCTCAGAGGTGGTATGACAGGGAAGGTGAGATGAAGGCGAAAACACTTTTAGAAAGCTTTCTGTCCTCAGTGAAGAACAATAGCCATGCAGCCTTGATTAGCTGCGTAATTCAAAGAAATGTAGGGGGCTTTGCAGGCATTCAAGGAATTTAGTGTCAATGCAATAAATTGTTCAGATCCACTTTATTTGTATTGTATATGGTCTTCTCAAGCTACAAGGTAAAGGTGGCTGCAAAAAGATCTCTGGTAAGGGAGTGAGGCAACTGAATTCTTGCCTAGGCTCCTCCAGGGGCCAATTTTGGAAATTCAGGAAAGTGACCCAGTGTCTCAGTGTCTTTCTCTTCTCATCTTTAAAAGGAAAATGAAATCAAATATCCTGGAATCCCAATGTGCTCTGTAACTATCTTATTTCTTCCCACTTGCCATGTTTTAGTCCAGTTTATTACTTCCATCTTTCTCATTGCTTGCAGGAGTTAAATCAATCAGTGGGCATATACTCTTATTCAATAATGGCTATGAGGGTTTGTGCTTTGCCTCCAGGCCCATGCTGAGCATCAGGGAGAGAGCAGGTGCTTACCAGAAGAGGTCAAAGTGGTGTCCTCGGCCACCACCTTTTCTGTCCCTTTAGGCAGACTAGTTCTACCTTCCTTTCCACCATCAACACGTGATTCATGTATCTTTTATAGGCTTTAGAGCAGTTGAATTTCTGATAGCTCTAGGGTATCTGCATACACGTCTGAAACTGGCTTATTAAAGTGCTGGAGCTGTATTTTGTTCTTCTTATGTGCTTAGATCCTATGCCCTAAATAAAATAAATAAGAAGGGAAGGAAAGGGGGAATAAAGGAGGAGATGCCAGAAAGAAGGAAAGCAGGGGTGTCCTGCACAATCATGGAAGAATGAAGACACTAGGTGAGTGTCCTTTAGATACTCACCACTACAGTGCAATAAAACAAAACAAAACCTCCCTCTCTGAAGAATAAAACTATGAGCAGAGCACACACTAGGAGCAAGAAGAGTAGAAGAGTCCAGCAGAAAGGGGCAGGAAAAACTTTAAGTGAACGTTATTTGTAGTAAAAACAATAAAGAAGGGTGTCTGCTGTGCAGAACCCTCTGCAACTTTATCTCAAGCACAGGCCAACATGAGGGATGCCATGCAGCATCCACTGCTCTGTATTAGGGGGCAGGTGAGTTGGCACCCAGGATGCAATGTAAATTATTAGAGAGCTGTAGAGGTGGGGATGCAAAGCAAGGATTACTGGCTTGAGCCGGGGGCTGTCAATATAGAACAGATAGATCCTGAATCTGCAGAGAGAAACAGGTCAGAATACCTGGGTTTCCTGAGAAGGGGCAACTATTTATTTATTTATTTAAAAGATTTATTTTATTTTTTAATGCATACAAGAACTGGGGTGTAGGCCAGAGATGCCAAGGATGGGAGGATTCACCAGAGACAGAATGGGGAGCAGAACAGGCGGATTTACTGAAATACATTGCTGAGGGGAGCAGTAGGTGAGATAGGAGAGGTCTGCTGTGCCATATGTGTTAGCTGCCTGGCCAGGGATGGAACTCATGCTGCAGTGACTAGTGATTCCTTGATAGACCTGAGATGTTAATCCCTTTGCCACAAGGGAGGTTCTGAAGAGGCTACTATTTAAAGCCCAGGGTGAAATATTCAAAATACCTGCCATCCCACAATCCAGGACCAAAACCAAAACAAAGAAATGCTTGAGCAAACTAAACCTCAAACACCTATCAATAGTAGGAGCAAACACTCCATAGAAGGCTCTGTCCTACAAAAAAAAAAAAAAAAAAAAAAAAAACAACAATTCCTGGCCTGTGACACATATTAATTTGTGCTCAGTGATGCATCTAATGCTTGAAAATAGCCCAGAGTGGAAGTGGACTCAGGACTATAGGAGACACTAAGACTAAAGAGGGGATCCCTATGGAATACAACTCTGGCATCCACAACGCTGTAGGACATAAAATTTCTAAATACTTGAGG